TGAATGGCCCAGCCAGAGCCCTGACTTAAACCCAATTGAGCATCTCTGGAGAGACCTGAAAATGGCTGTCCACCAACGTTTACCATCCAACCTGACAGAACTGGAGAGGATCTGCAAGGAGGAATGGCAGAGGATCCCCAAATGCGGGTGTGAAAAACTTGTTGCATCATTCCCAAAAAGACTCATGGCTGTATTAGCTCCAAAGGGTGCCTCTACTAAATACTGAGCAAAGGGTCTGAATACTTATGACCATGTGATATTTCAGTTTTTCTTTTTTTAATAAATCTGCAAAAATGTCATTCTGTGTTTTTTCTGTCAATATGGGGTGCTGTGTGTACATTAATGAGGAAAAAATGAATTTAAATGATTTTAGCATATGGCTGCAATATAACAGTGAAAAATGTAAGGGGGTCTGAATACTTTCTGTACACATTGTATATACATCTGTACATATTTAAGAATTTAGATGCTAATATAAATATATTACTTGAACTTAAATAATATAAACTTCCTGCTCATTGATTTGCAATGTTGCCAACAGACCAGTCCAGCTAGATATACTAAAGCAATCACTGCACCTTAGCTCTTGTCCATTAACACTTTTTCTAAAAGTAAAGCTTCAAGCCTGTTTGGACAAATAAGCAGGCGATGTTTATATTTCAGCACTGATATTTTAAGTACCGAACTTTGACAAAGACCTTCACAGAAAACACATGTATGAAAGTTTTTATTAAGATGTGAAGTTCCATTGCCCACTGACTGAGCCACATAGTAGGATTTTACTTCTCTCCTACAAATCTCATCACAGACCAGATATGAACTCTTACTGGTCCACTGAAGACACTGCTTTTAAACCTGACCAGCTTTAGTTTCCAAGTTTCACAAGACTAATGTTGTAAAGCAACTATCAGGTGTCACTAATAGAAAATTCTTCAAAAATGGGACAGATTACTGTTAAAGGGGGAATGGCAGTAAATGCAGTTTGTTCCCTAAAGTCAAGCTCATTACAACAGTTTTTTTGCTTGTGGACTTAGAAATATTCCAGTCTTCTGCTCAGTTTATTGCTTTAAAAAAAATCTAGTGTGGTTAAAACACTGTAGTTTGACCTAAACATGTGGTTAGGTCATGAGAAGAGCAACCATAAACCCTCATTATATAAAATTACAATTCATCACTTTTGAGTCACTTTTTCTTAAAATTTAACATTATTTGCTATCTGAAGAGGGAGAGTAATTTAACCCTTTACTGCATGGTATATTCAAGAAAAATTGTTCGATTAAATGCTTTTATGTCGTAATTGTTGAAATAACACAGCAACTGTCATCCTGTCTTTCCACTTTTACAAGGTGACAAAGTTGTCTATCACAAAAAAATCTGCATCTTCATTTTGACAATGCATTTTTTTGTTTAACTATGAACAAGTTTGTACCTTGACTTAATTTTGTTGCCAGAGGGAAACATCCCATCCCAACAGGGAATACATGGTGGCCTCAGATAGGCTGGTGCCTTTACAGTGAGATGAAATGTATTCCTAGTTAGAAATCAAAAACAATCTGATCCACTCCCATTGACATGTCACTTAAAAGGAAATTATCAGCTGCAAAAATTAAAGCATTGAGGGCGTTTTAAAAAAAAGTTACAAATTTGGATTTTTAAAACAAGCATCATTCATGCATAAACCATGTGGCAACAAGTCTTTTCAAAGGTGTGAAAACTATATGCAGTCTACTTCCTACAAAAAAAAAAAAATCCTTCTATGGTACTTTGATTACTGCAGTAAAGGGTTGAATGTCCCTGTGGGATCATCAAATATTGAACTGATTCCAAAGTTCTAATAAATTCACTGGTTTAATTTGTGAAACCAACTATTAGGGATATGACAAGCAGTTTCTCATGTCCTCTCTTGCTTCTCTTTGGAGTCTTGCGTGTATGGAGAGGCAATATCTCTTTACTCTGTTGCTGCTTCTGTGCCCTCCGTTGGCTGTCCAGCTGCATTTTCTGCTGTCTTTGAGGCCTGCAGGATGTGAAACAGGAGGTACAGCTCAGTAAATGGACATTATATTCAACCAGATATGTCATCTCTGTGGCCAGAAGGCAACATGCAAGAAAATGGTAGGACAGTGACGAGGGTCTAGTTTTGTTTATAATATACATGAGCTCAGTGAGCTCGGGATCACTCCCTCACTCATTTACTGTACCTTCTTTTTCTTTTTCTTCTGTGTCTTACGGCTTGCAGAGCTCTGTAGTAAGGTCTATGGAAGAAAGGAGCATTTTCGGTATAAAGTTGAGTGCAACATTTCACGCAGCCAGTTTCAATGTGTCTTCAACCAGTCACTTCAATCTTACCCTTAGCTCTGGATCCTGAACTTCATACTCTGACTTGTAGAGCTCTGGATCAAAAGGTCCATTGGTGATTCTGTGAGGCCCGTTGGCCATCAGCAGCACCGTGAACTTAAACTGAGCTACAAACTCTCCTGAGAACAAAGACAGACAGAAGCAGGTGGTACATAAAAAGTGAAAGCTGTTCTCAAGAACAAACACATTCAAGGGAGTGAGTACAAGCACTCACCTTCTTTCTCATGCAGCACAGTGAAGGGCTGTAGCAGTTCATGTTTGGCACACTCCACCACACCCAGACGGGCCTTGGCCTCATCCTCAAACGCCCTGATGGAAAATGAATGTTGGTTTTAAAAGTAAGTCATTAGGCCAAAAGAGAGAAATATTCAACTTGCTGTCAGTCTGTACAAAATGCCAACAGGTGGTGGCAAACATATTAGTAGCCACATGTAAGGTGTTGTGTTAATACCTGAGAGTGAAGGGCATGGCATCGAAGCGTCGTTCCACTTCGCTGAAGAAAGTACGGGACGTTTTCATCTTCAGTCCATACTGCTTACTAGGGTCCCTCTTATAAATGGTGGTTCTCAGACCTCCATCTCTGGCCTAATTGTTAAGTGACAGGGTAAAAACAAAGGTCCGTTCTTTATACGCAAGTGTTTATTAGCTACAGTGGAAACGTACGCTTTCATCAGCTATGGGATACAAGGTGAGAGGAGAACACACTGACCTTCCCTTCTCCACTGCTAATCAAAACGTCCACGGCGTAAACTTCATGTACCTCAAACTCTGCCTTCTCATGGTCCTTCCTGAGTGTCAGCAGCAGACAGTCAAACAGATGAGCAACACACTGTGAAACTCCATTCATACACAACAAGGGTACAACCACTCAAAAGAGGTACAGTAAGCTATAAGTGATAGGACAATCCACAACTCTCAGTGAATACAGTCTGTAGGCAGGGTTGCAAAGTTCAACTTAAGACTTTTTAATAACACATACAAAGAAATTTAAAACTGTGTTCATGGTCATAGCAGCCAAGGCATGAAAGATATCAGTGAAAAGCAGCTGGGATGATAGAGCCTGAGTGACATTTATATCACATTTTTGTCACTACCGTTTTGCTGCTTGCAACAATAATTCCTAATAGTATTGTTAAGTGGTCAATACACACGACTGGACTTCAATAAAGTTAAAAAAAAAGGATATATGAATGGATGGACTAAGCAATTAGAATATACCCTATTTATTTATAACATCAGAGGTTTGTAACAATAGGACTGGAGGTTTTCCAGCCAGTTTTAGCTAGAAACACATTTCTAAATGTAATTTTAATTGGTTAGCTTCAGACCCACAACCCACGTTCCATTCATTTTCATTATATTTGGGCAGAGGCACAAGTGTCAGGCAACCTCACAGTATCAAACCTATAGAGCAACTACACCTTAAATTATGTTTTGGTTAGTATAACACTGATAAAGGCCATTTTTCAGCAAATATACTGTGTGTAAAAATGGCTTTGTCTGTTCAAATGTAGCTACTTTTTGTGTGCTTGATCATTCAACTCAGCCAAACTCTGGTAAATACAAAAAAGAAAAATAACCAAAAAAACAGCTGTATTTGAATAAGATTTAATCCTCAGCAGAGGCAATAAACAAAACATATGGGCCCACTGACACACCACTGCTGTATTCTGAGTTTAACAACATACTTAGGGCAGACAAACAGTAATGCTAACCACAATAAACAGCACTGTTACAGCTACAACTGCAGTGAAAACTATGCTACTCTCCATGTCTAGTCAGCAGAGAGAAAACAAAAAAAGTCCAACAATATCCTCATGTTGCTGCTCAGTGCTGACTGTCCATGCTACACCGAGTGTTTGTTAATCTCTCCCATGTCCCTCGACCCTCCGCATCACAAACTACATAGCCACAGCACCATACCTCCGACCACTGTTGCTCCTTCACTCCTCTATTGCATTCTTAAATTTGATGGGCTTCCACCAGAAATTGAGGGTGGAGTTACTCTTTAAACATACTTTCTGCTTAGGTAGGGTTAAGTTGGAAATACACATTTTTGTGATTTAGGTGAACAAAACAATGTGGCCACATTTGCAGTCATTATGGTAATAGTTAAGAAGAAACCCACAGAATATGTCTGATTTCCCTCCCCTTCCTCCTGTGAGTAAAACATGACTAAATATACCTTTGCTGGTCTGTTGGGTTCTGAATGATGGTCTTCTCTCCATCTATAACATGCTGCTTCAGCTGATGAGACAGCATACCTTTAAAACAAAGAGCCAAGCAGAAATACTAACATTAAAGATGAAAGGTGAATCATTTCCATAAAAAGATCCACTTGCCTATTATGAATCTGGAAAAGTCACAATCTTCATATTATACAAAGTGAAGAGAATGAATCTGAATGCCTTTCATGACAGCGCAGGCACAATCTTCTAAAGTGGGCTTCCCTCCACAAACCCCCCAATCCAGAATCAAAACCCTCTGTAATTTCATCACTATGCCACCACGTGTGCTGGTCATTGAGTGTGAGGACACGTGGCTCCTTGCTAGTGATTGGCTCTGAAGTATCATGTGACCTCAGCACTACATCCATAGCCATAGGCATACTATGTGTGCTGGCATACGTAATAAATTGCTTGATTTGATGCAGTAAATCATCAAACCAATCTTCAGAAATATAAAAATACTCAAAGTGCATCTCATCTTTGAGAGGCATCGGTTTCAAAATTTTAATAAACCATCTTCTCTCCATGTCTAGTTTATAGGACGAACAGACCATCATCTTGGTTCCGCAGCATACAGTCATTTTTACATTGAGATCCCACCCTTGTGCTGTTCATACAGATCAAGCTAAGGGCAGTATAATCGCGAGCCACCTTTTGAATTCAGACAGCAGGCCAGCATTCCACACCAGAGGCGAGACATGACGCTCTGTCAACTGTGATGTAAATTTTGCACCGGTAGTCTACAGCCAGAACAACAATGGTGACAAGTAATGGTAATGGTCTTATACTTGTATAGCGCTTTTCTACGCTTTTACATAGCGCTTTCACATTATTTGGCCATTCACCCATTCGCACTCCCAAGCACTCACACATTCACACACCTGTGGCATCACCGGGAGTTCGGTGTCTTGCTCAAGGACACTTCGATACGTTGACTGGACAAGCCGGGAATCGAGCCGCTAATCTTCCGGTTAGGAAACGACCCGCTCTACCTCCTGGCCACAGCCGCCCATGTGCAAAATTGGTTAGCATGGTTCTTGCTATGTTTGTGAATGTTGTTCATGACAGGAATGCTTTGGCCTGTAAAATTAGAGAAGCCAAGAATAGTTCAAGGCAGAGAGGCGTGCAGACTTGAGATGCAACCAAGTCACACACATATGGTGTCATCCAAATGCAACACCTGGCTCCAGACTGCGAGGTCATCCTTTCTACACACAGCGCGTCTCCCCTTTGATTTACCTCTGGTACTACCACCACAGGCAGTAGTACCGCCATTCTGGCTTTGTGCCTTACACACACAAAACAAGATGGAATAAAGGCCACCAATCCCGCCTCGAAAGAACATTGTGTAAGGGGCTAGTAAATACCACAAACACAACAATCCCTCTTCCTTCTCATCATCCAGAATTTCATTCCATTTACAAAGCCAAAGTGCAGCGGCAACTTCGCAAAGCCTCGTGCTGCATTGATGGTTGTAGCCCGCTTAAAAAACTCACCTTCAATTGGCGAGCATTTGAATGACTGTGCAATCTTGTTCCAGGCTTCTGTCACTTGAGTGTTCTGAGAGTCAAAGAAAAAAGTCATTAGTCTCACATGTAAAATACAGGTTTGTACTAACTGACCGATAAAAAAAAGCAAATCACTGACAGCTCACATGCATGTGAGGGAACAAAAGAACAGAAGCGTAAGTCTATTGCAGGAGCTGCAGTGAATTACATAATAGGACAATAAAATGCTCAAAAAGAGTTTTAACCCTTCAGAATAATTATAAAACCCATCTAGACTATTTTATGAGTAGGACCAGCCATTGTAGAGCAGATAGCTGATTATTATAGCTGACAATGAAAACACTACAAGGAGATGCTTAAATGTACCTGGTTACCAGGCTTAACAAGGCGAAGAGCTGCTTCTGCGCACAGATAGGCCGCTTTGATTACATCAGCTTTGCGGCCTGTGACTGGATTCTCCTGAAGAAACAAGACAGAGTGAGATGAGGACTTAAAGATGTGCTATACTGAGAAGACACAAAAATGTGGGTATTAAAAACAGCCCTTACCTTACTAGCTCCCACAACAAAACTGTGAGCAACATTGGCAATGAAGCCATCAACATGAACCCCTAGATCTCTATGGAAATAACATGGAGAAAAGAGATGAGTGTATGAAATAACAATAAAACAAAGGAAATCAATCATGTGTAATTTTCAAGTTTAAGTGCCACCCAACTGCCACAGTCACTAATGCTGATGCAGGACCAAACAATCAAATGTTACTCTGCTCCACTCTGGAAAATAAGACTAATACAGAATAAAAAATGAGCAAACATCAGACAAAAATAAAAATTTATTCCTAGGTGAATTACTTTTTGGCTGAAGTACTGTGAAGGGTTTCTTGTGAATTCAAGAGCACGGCACTACAGATGGGCCAGACACGACCAGCCAGAAGGTTAGGCTATGAGTGTGTGAAAATTAAGAGACATACAAATCTAGTGTCAACATCACACAAAGATCTACACAACATGAAAGATAGTGCGCAGGACAAAAACAGTAGTGGCAAACAGAACAACTAAGCTAATTTGCTTTTTCAAAGCTTTTGAAAAATGTGATCAAACTGGATTCAGCAGATGGATGACCATCAAAGCTGAAATTAAACACATCAATTCAAACACTTAAAAAAAACACCTGTTAGAAAACTGTCCAACCTTACTTGTTATTTGCCGCACAAGACAAGAAGACAAGACAGGCAACAACAGAGGAAGAAACATCACACACAAGCCAAGATACCACATATAAAGAAAAGCGGACAACACAGTGGGAGACTCAAGACAAACATGGAAGGAGGGGGTGAAATTACAGCAGTGCATGGTGCCTACATTTTGACCAGATCACCATCTTTAAGTGTGTAGTCAGGGTCACTCTTCAGGGGAGAGAAGTGGCAAACACAGTTATTGACTGAGACGCTGGTGGGAAATGCAATGCCTGGAAGAGGGAAAAGAGACCCATTAAGTCTTCATCTGGAAATCATTCACAATTTTAGCAAGAAAACTACATAAGGAAGGAGGGAATGACACTTGGATCACCTAAGAAACATACAATGTCATGCTGCATTATTAGTGGTTTTTTAAAACCGCTGTTGCTATAAAAGCTAATCAAAGCATTGCACACAAAAGCACCACAAGCAGCTTGCATGAGTGCTTCTTGATGGATCCACCCCATTTCATCCAAATACACAACAGATGTACTTATATCATCTTTGCCTCACCTTTCTTCATTTCCTTTTCCTTCTTGAAGACCTTTCCAGTCTCTGCCATGATGTAGGCATCCCCCTTCTCACAGAGGCTGAGCACCAACACCCCCGACTTGGCTGCTTCCACAACCAGACGAAGAGCCTCTGGAGGAGACAAACAGCAAACGATAAGGAAGAGAACAAATTACTAACACGTATTGTACTATAATGTACAAACTGTTGCACTCATACTGTGATACAAGACAAGCTATCATCTCACATAGTTTTAAAATAATGCATTACACTAAATTGGCTGTTAAAACTGAAATGATGTGAAGATTAAATGTGGTTTAGCACCATCAGGTATCAGAAAACTATTTGTTTCTCTCAGTGCTGCTGTGATAGTGTACAAGTTACAGAAAGGCACATGGGACACAAAGATGTCATATGAATAACATCAGAGCAACATGCAAGCTGTAACGTTAAATTACGATATACCTGTAGCAGACATCCCAGCAAGACAGTTTTCGGTTAATCAACTAGATAATCATTCAAAGTTAAGGAAATACCAAGACAAAAATTATGGGTTTAGTAAGTTAGCGTTCAAGATGAGATATGGCTGCCTGCTTATATATATCAGCTCGTTTACGTTTACTTAACACTGTTAGCAAGCTGAGTGCACTGGGGCTAGCAAGTTAGTTAGCATCCAAACAGACTGCTCTCTCTCCAGAAAAGCCTAACGTAAACACTGTGCAGCTAACAGAAGAGCTAGCACTAACTAAAACTGAAGCAGCTGCACCTGCTTGCTAGCTAGCTAGCGTTAGCTTGTCAGTGGCCGCATGTATGTGCCTCGCATGTAAACCACATGGCTCCTGCTGCTGCTGAGTGGGAACTAACGTTAGCTGGCTGCATGACAGGCCGAAAACAGCAGGTCATTTCATCCACTCGTTTACATTTACTTACGGTTGGCGATGTCGCCCCCCATCTTGTACTTGGTGACCACCAAATCCTCCGCTACAGTCTGCTCTTGCTCCTCGTCAGACATCTTAGCGGTTAAGTTTCGCTCACTAACAATTCTCTCAGCTCAGCTCCGACCGCAGCTGCTAACACCGGCCTCCCGCTGCACTCCAAGCCCCTCCCACTACACTGTGACGAAGCCTACGTCACAACCCAGACCCGCCAAAATCCAGGGACTACCGAGAAAGGTACTGACCTCACCGGGCGTGGATCAGGCCTTAATCCTCGACTGGAAATGTAATAATAGTCTGTTTACTCAGCTACTACTCATCTTGGGTGATACCTGACCCAATGCCAGGGCAATTTTTTTTGTCCCATGCTCTGCATTAAGATGTTCTATAATGATATTTTGCAAATTTATTGGGGATATGCACCACTACTTCACAACATCATTGCATTTACTCATCCCCAATAATATTTAAATTTAATTAAATTGCCATATTACTAAAATATGAGATTTCAGGCAATAATGCTCCAGCATAGTAGTAGCTATTACTTTCTGTGGCTAAGCAAAATATAATGAAGCTGCAGTGTGTGTGCTGTACATGATTTATTTACAGCTGTATAGCATGTATTGGATAGCAGCTGGGTAAACACTATGGAGAGCAGGAAGAATAGTGGCCCAGTGAGTCCCAGTGGCTCATTCTTGCCCTGTAACAGTTTGACATTTTTAGCTATTTGACAGGATGTTTTTTTTTTGTTTTTTTTTTTTCTGAGGTCACAGCATTGTAGCTGTAATGGGCTTTGAGGGAAAGCACAATGCCCATTCAGCAATATCTCATGGTTTTCATAAACCAATGATGTGTTGTGAAAGTCTGTGACAACCAGAGATGTAGCAGAAAAATCTGGACATAGAATTTTCTCAGAATGGAAATTTGCAGAAATAGAAAGAACTGAACTCTCCCAGGTGGGAGAGTTAACCACTTCATTTTTTTCTGTCAAAGTTGTTTTCATGTTTATTATTAGACCTAACTGAAGAACCTGAATTACCTGTCACATATGCTAATGAACATATGGCCATCCTGTATTGTTAAAATAAAAAGTCGCTGCTTTATTCAAAATATTTTTATTGAGTAGAAAATGTATTTATATACGGTATAATCACAAAGAAATCTCAAAACATGGGAAACTGCAAATACATTTGTTCTCAATAACACACTTTGTTCATTTCAAAATATAGCTTGTAATCTGTTCTTTTAGTGTTTTCAACACTCAGTGCTAATAGGAAATGTCCCAACTCTTTGCCCTAAATACAAGACATGACATCAGCCTGTAACTGACAACAAAGCGGTGAAAAAGTCACTCGTGTTGGCCACATTATTAATATGACTTTTTATTGCATTTCCTGTTACAAGTCCTTCATAAAAACAGTTCAGAGGGAAGTTCATGAAATTTAAAATATTCTTCATGTGGGTACTGCTTCAGGCTTTAGAAACATCCTGCTGTGCCAGTAGTCGGGATTGTCAAAAGATTGGTCACCAGCTGCAGGTTCCCCAACCCTGACTCCAGAATGTACTGTTACATAGGGTTTAAACCCAGATCCATGTGCCTCTGTGACACCCACTGTTCCCTCCCCCTCCCTCTGCACATTCTGGTACACCACTGCATCTCCAGGCTTCAGGGCAGCAAAGCCGTCCATGTCCTCGTACTCGTAGGCCTCACCCTCGTTCCTCCGTTGTATCTTCAGCTCCTTGTTGTCTCGAAGAGCTTGTCGCAGTTTTGGCTGCCTGTTTGTGTAATGATAGTTACTGTCCTCCACATATTCATCCTCCTCATCCTCCTGCACCTGTCCTCCCGTTCTTTCTGGAGGATGGTCATGTGCTGCAGCACTTTCCTCTTTTTCACTACCTCTGATGTCCATGTATTCATACTCAACGTCATTAGAGCCAAGCTGCTCTGAATCAGAGCTGTCTTTGTCTCTCGTGGGAACTCCCATGACCTCTACAGAGAGTATGGTATCACCCGAGCACGCTGTCACTTGTGACGATAGGGAGGAGGTTCGTTTCATGTTCGGCTTCAGCCAGTGGCCATTGTGCCTGGGCGAGACACTTACCTGCTTGTTCATATATTCATATTCATCATCATCTGGGTCATCTAAGAGGCCTGATGATCGAGACTTGCCCATCCTGCCAGGAGTGACTCGAGATGAGAAGAGTAGGGTATCTGGAAAAGGGAAAGGGGCAATGTAAAATAGAAGTTAGTTTTCTCTTCTTGCATTACCTGAGGAAACATAACCTTAGGTACAGTAGCTAAAGTGTACAGGCACTTTTTTGCTGATATTAATTTTGCCTTTTTACCAATGCATTTGATATAATATCGGAATGTACATACACTAGGCCTACTTTTCCCCTTTCCTCTTTTCTTTTAAAGTGAAAATATAATCTTGCAGGAACTGGAAATGTGACCTGCACATTCTCGCAATAAACAATTAAAGGAATATGTCAACATTTTGGGAAATACGTTTACTCTGTTTTTGCCAAAGGTCAGATGGCAAGATTGAAAACACTCTCAATGTCTGTACGCTAAATATGAAGCAAATGGCAGCAGCCAGTTAGCTTAGACTGGCAACAAGGGAATCAACTGTCTAAGAAAGTCACTTTTGGCTTTTATCGTTTAGGGGTTGCCACAGCAAATCGTCACACTGACAACTCACATGTTGACATTTGACACGTGTTTTACACCGGATGCCCTTCCTGACGCAACCCTGATTCGAACCAAAGGTAACAAAATCCGCCTACCAACAATAAAACAAAAAATGTTTTTCCCAAAATCTTGAACCACTATATTTCTTTAAGCAATACATAATATTGGCAAATAAATGTACCTTGATACACACGTAAAGCTAACATTCTGCTGATCTAATGCTCAGTTCCTGTAATGCTATTAAAAGAATGTATAAAACGGGGAGATTTGCATTCATTCCATAAAATGTTGGTTGTGACAGGCAACAGAACTAACCCAGACTTTTAGTGCTGTACACATTTTCCAGGAACAATTGTCAGGGCAACAAATTTACAAAGATATATGATACCTCTCTCTGGGCTGTCTCCAGGAAGAACATATCCATTCTGGTCTTCCTCCTCCATTTCGGGGGATGGAGTCTCTGATGGCCCGCCGGACATGCTGTCCCTCTGTGACATGTAAGCGCTGTCCTCACGATGACGTTTTCTTTTCAGGCTCCCCGCTAAAGAAAAGTCCTCATTCATCTCCAGCTCCACTGTTGTGCCACAGCCCTCGGAGCTCTCAGACACGGTACGGGCCGAGTTTAGACGAGAGCGTGACTGCCACAGAACCTGCAAAAGAAAACACCCACAAACCTGTATTAGTGAAATGCTGAGCAGTAGGATGAAGTTGATGATACTGATGAATATTTTGATTTAACTTTGGCCAGCTGGAGACTCTCAATGTACATATAAGGTATAAGTGGCTTAACCTGTCCTGCATTGTCAACTCCAGGGGTCATAGGCAGGTATCCAGCTGTGCTTGATGGATTAAGAACCACCTTTACCAGAAAAGACAAGAGTAAGATTTAGATTCAGGAGGTGACAAGTAAGTCCTTTACAGCCATAAACTGGACATAAAATTGATTGGATGTAGTGCTCCTTACTCTGTGAGTGTCCATACTACAGAGGCGACTGAGGCTCCTGGATGAAGACAGGTGGGGGGGCGCTGGAATCAAGCCACCTACCTCCCCCTCTACCTCCTTATCCTCCAGCTTGATATCTAGAACATCCAGGTCATCGAGGTCTACACTGCGCTGGACAAGTTCATCTGGGGCTGAGTCCTGTTGGCTGCAGTCCTCCTGATGGACAGAGGTGAGACATACGTAAATTAGTGTAATGCATGTCCCCTTCTACTGAAGCTCCAGATTCTGGTACAATGTTTCTTACTTTGATCACCAGGTAGCGAGGCGGGTCTCTGGCCATTCTTGTAAATTCATTGGCCAGCTCTTTGAATGTTGGACGGACATTCTCATCAATCATCCAACCTGGAGTTTAAGAACAAGCCTCATAGTTACTGCTCAGTTCTACAGAGTTGTTGAAACTAATATGCAATAAAGAAGATCTGACATTACTTAAAATGTAGTTCTATATGAACAATAATATCTCACTCTAGAGGCTCTGTGGGACTGTACTTAGGCACAGTGATTGAGCTAAATGCTAACATGTGCAAAGTGACAATGCTAACCTTATATTTATTATATTTATAACATTATATTGATGTTATATTATTGGGACTATTTTGTGGTTCAGATCAAATGTAAAAGAAGGACACAAAAGAAGTACTCACACTTAACCATGACCATGTAGACATCAATGGTGCAAATTTGAGGCTGGGACAGACGCTCGCCCTTTTCCAGGAGATAGGGAACCTCCTGTGGACGCATTGTTGCATATGGCTCTGCCCCATAGGACATCATCTCCCATATTGTCACCCCTAAATGTAGGCAACAGATTTAGTGTGATATGACACAGCACTACTGATGCAGATCAGGCACACCTCCATAACAGTTTTCACCAACACACAATATTAACTAAACTGGGACTTGTATACAGTAGTGGTTTAAATCTCACCATAACTCCAGACATCGCTCTGGTGTGTGTATATGCGAAACAAGATGCTCTCCAGTGCCATCCATTTGATTGGTGTCTAAAGACATAAACAGAACATATCTTCATTGATTACTTCAAAGAAACCAGTAGAATAAGTTGTAAGTTAATATAGGAAAACACGAACAGTGTCTCAGTGTGCAAAATAAGTTCATGCCAAACCCTGTATTAATGATCATTTTTACTGAATGTCCATTTAGCTAGCTATGGTTTCTGCCATATCACAGACCTTGACCTCATTGTAAAAGTACTTCTTGTCATCAGGGTAAAGTAGATCTGCAATGCCATAGTCTGAGATCTGGGCAGTGTAATTGTTCTTCAGGAGCACATTTCTGGCAGCCAGGTTCCTGTGGACCATTCTGTTTTCTTCCAGGTAATACATACCCTGATAGGAAAGGACAACAATGTGTTTAAGGGACTGAGCTATTAGAGCAAACTATGTCATTACATACTATATCCAAAAAACTAGCCTTTACCTTTGCGATTTGAACACACCAGTTGAGTAGCCTCTGTGGGCTCAACTTGTTTTTGCAGTTCCTGACGTGCTCCAGCAGGGTGCCCTGAATGCTGAGCTGAGAGACAAGCTGCAGGCTGGCCCCTGGGCAGATGCCCAGGATCCTGACAACATTAATGTGGTCTAGGCTTCCCAATGACATCATGTGCTGCAATGAATATTTGCATAAAATCATCAGTAATTTCATTTAGTGTCAACATTTAGGGAGAAATATCAGAGGAGCACTCCATTAAATCATTAAACATGTTTGTACTTTTGGTTTATGAAGATGTGATGTCTCCACATGAAAGTCATGTAGCTATGTTTAGGGGCCAATATACATCTGTTACGTATCATACTGAGTGTACATTTCGACACCAGACAAGTGGAAAGGAGTGTGTTGGTTTAAAAGATTTTTGAGCATGGTTTGGGGCATTTTGATGTGAAAGATACACACATGTCAGAACCACCACCAAATCCCACAGGCAGTGAGCTTTTCATACTCAAAACTTTTCTTTTAAGTTATGTTTTCTTACATCTGTCAGCTCACAGAAGGTCTGCCGGCCAGTGCGATCATGAATCGTCTTAATGGCCACAGGAAGTTTCACTGTATCACCCTCAGGAATCCAAATGCCCTGTGAAGCACAGAAAACAGAGTCAGATTTATAATTCATTAAACTAATTTTAAATGTGTAGGACTGTATAGGTAACCATGACAATCACAAGTACCTTATGGACTGATCCAAACACTCCATTACCCAACAGCTTGATCTTACGCAGCTCTGTGGGCTTCAGGATCCGAGCATGGACTTGAGCTCCCTTCTCTCCAGTTTCCAGAGGCTCAAAACTCTGTGAGCAAATAGAGCACACATTAACACAAATCAAAATGAAACATAACAATACAATGGCAAACTACAGACTCTGACTGACCTGTCCACTCTCCATGTATCTCCTCATGGCTCGCTTGCGACGAATGGCGAGACCTCGGCGATACAGAACAGCCAGTACAAAAATAGAGAATGAAACGAAGAGAAGGGCAATGACTCCCAGTACAATGGCTGTGGTCTCTTGTCTAGTGTATAAATAAAAAAGACAGATGTCACATTGTCAGCACCTGAAACTAAACCAAAAAGTAAAAATTATTTTAAAATGTATTATTGAATTATTTAGAAATATACCCAGAAATGTATGGAGAAGTCCCGAAACAGTCTCCAGTTCCCGGACCATGGCACCTGAACACCAAATACATAAGGGGTCAGTTTCAAGCAGAGAAACCTTCATATATGTGCATACACACACTGGCATTTACGCGGTCCTCACCCTTGGGTACAGTTGATGTGGCATGGCTCACAGTGGCCTTGCTTGTTGGGGTATTTAAAGATTAATCCTTCCCCTCCCATCACACCATCAGGACAAGAGGAGACACAGTGAGGACCATCCTGCTTCCTGGCACATGTTACACACTGATCTGCTCCCTGGGGAGAAGCAGTATTAGTTTAAAAGAAATGAAGCAGACAGACAAAGAGAAGCATTAAAGTAGTTCTTAAGGAGTGTATGTCTAACGTAATGCCACTGGGTGGTAGCAGCACACACAAAGGTATTATAACAGGGTTCCTGAGTTTGAAGAACTTGTTTGTTTTATGCAGATTACAGCTACAGTATAACCCTAACTTGAGATAGAGTGGCATCAGTCACTGAATGAAGAGATGCATACCGGGCCTGTGCAGGTCTCTTTGCCCTCCTGGACCTTACACTCAGGGTGGCAGGGCATACATTCCCCTGATCGAGTAGCAAACTCCCGCCTCTTCCTGCATTCGGTGCAAAAAGTCATTCACTTTCAAAATCTTTCAACAGGCTGCAGATAACACTGAATACCTGGCACAGCTACATCACAGCAAACGTTACTCTCATAAGACAAACATAATACTCATTCAGACATTCATAATATGAATCAGTTTGAGAACACTGACCCTGTCATGAACATGCAGTCTGGCACACACATTCCTCCTCTGCTGTAGTTCTTACAGGACACGCATTGGTTTGGCCCAGGGCCCCAGCAGCCATCAGAGCACAGGGGGTCGCACACACGGCCGTCCTTGACTATTAATGGAAAAAAACTCAATGTATCATCATCAACATTAATGCTGATAATGGAGCTGAATTTCAATAATCCAGTCTCACTCACCACACTGATTTCTTGATCGGTTCTCCTTAATGTCAGTGTGTTTGTTACGTTTTTGGGAACGGGAGCTGCTGTTCATAATACGCGACCAGTTGACAGTGTCATGGTAGCAGAGCTTCTTGTTTCCTGTGATGTAGACACCGCCGTCATTTATTTTTCGCAGGGAGCGTAACCCCAGGGAGGTCAGAGAGGGACTCCTCACCACCAGAAGGGAGTAACCCCTGAAATGCAAAATATATGTCATGTAAGAAAAGAAGAGTTACTAATATTGTGACCAAAGATAGGAGCTTAATAATTAAAGAGGTTATTTGCACAACTTAATTTGTAATTGTGAAATTTAACCACTAATGAATATGTAATGTTAAAGTTTAGACACTACTGTATTTACAGTGTCACAGGATTTTACTCTCAAACTTTCTTGCGGATTTCTCAGAAGGTAATTTCAAGATTTGTCATTTCAGAAACACGATAAACATAAATATTATTCTGACTAATCTGAACAGAAAATATACATTTCCAGCAATCAGGAAACAATATTCAGTTTGCTCAGATTCAGCTGGTCATTTTCAGATTTAAAAACCTGAACTTCTCTTGAACCATACAATTTGCAGAGTTGCAGAGAATAAGTGAATGAAATGTCTGATTTCACTATTGTTTATCCTCAGCAGCCTGATTGTTTAAGTTTGAATGTGGTATCTAAATTATACCAGTCCAGTCTGAGAAACTATCCTTCATTTACTTGACTTGAATTTAAGGGACATTATAGTTCTTGTCTGAATTTTAGGAACAGCCCCTTTAATATTATGGTTTTAGAATTGCATAACCTAGTGGAAAAAATAGGAATTCAACATGTAAATAGTTTATATTTAAACTATTTACATGCAACATATACATCCTGTAGAATTTTAGTCAGCAGTGATTGCATTTCACAATTAAATATTCCGTTGATTATAAGACTGAAATCCAAATAGCCTTCTCTTTCAGATTCTCAGATGCCAACATTTTGCACACAAGCATTTTTTAATAGTCATCAGACGTGGCATGCAGGAAACTCATGAACTTGTTACACCACCAAATCACACAACCTCAGCACCAAATAAACCCTGTGAGGAAAATGTAGAGTAATAATACAGAAATCAAGAAAAAAGATTTTAAGCTGAAACACTGTGCATGAAAAGCAGAGAGAGGCTAATATGTTAAATATATACTGTACCTTGAAGAACTCACTCCTCTTTAATGGGGTAAAAGTGACATAATAAGGGAATAAACAAATACAAGACACAAAAACACAATCAGATTCACACCACTGCAACATGACACAACATGACCGCAACATGACCTCAGTTGATAAGCGAAACAAAAACAAGAACACACACACACAAACAACTCCTGCTCACTTGTAAAGCGTTCTGCCTTGAATTGTTTGGAGGTTGGAGAAGACTGACAGGTCAGTCATGTTTTCAGGCCACGACTGGATACAGAGGATGTCTGAAAATGAAGAAACTGTGTTTCAGAGGACTTAACCAGACTACAAACACTGTGATGGGAAATTACTGGAAAAACAAAAGTACACTGACAATGCAAAAATCAACTCCCCCACACACCTGTTATTTCCCGGACCGTGTTGAAGATTTTCAGTTTTTCTGGATCCAGGGCTGGTATGTTATTGTACTCATCGCTTTGACATAAAAAGAAGAGAAAATACTGTATAGGGCCAGTGCCAAAAGCATCCATAAAGCACAAAATAAAATACCTATTACCTGCTAGGTGTAGTCAAATCTCGGTTGTATTTGATAAAATAACTATTGGAAACTATACAGTGGTAAGAAAAAGTCTTGTTTACCCTTTGATCCCAGTCACCAGGAAATGCAAGCTGCCTTGGATCTTAGTGCAGTTTGTGAAACTGTCGATATTACGAGCATCAACAGTCTGCCTGGTTGGACTTCCTGTGCCATGACAAGCTGGGAGGAAGATAAAAAACAGAGGATGAAATGGTAAAAAATTAAGTAAAGCTGTAAGCAATTTGTAGAGTTTGTTAGAACTCTTCTTAAGGATTATTTAAGGGTACTTGATTTGTCACATTATATGCCACTTTATTCTACTATTTCACTAAATTTTATAGGGAACTATTAGATTTTCCGCTTTAGTTACAGCTACAGTTACTTTGCAGAGTAACAGATACAAATTCAGGGTTACCCAGGATTAGTTTAAACATAAAACAGTGGAGCAGTTGTTGAATGTCCTTAAATACCTTTTGGACAGAGACCGCCACAGGGCTCACATCTTTTCACCCCATTCTTCTCCACCTCTTTTTTATCGGTGGGACAGCTGCTCACACATGAGCTGCCATCTACCACAAAGTTTGCTGAAAAAACAAGAAAGAAAACAAAAATGTACATAACCAGGTGGAGATACAAATAATATTTTTGCTATGGTTTAGCAACTGGAGCTTTACAAAAATCTTTGAAAGATAAAATCGTTGTTGTAAGCATAAAAATTGCATTCATGCATGAGAACAGTAACTGAACATAAACTACAAGCTTGTGTTGAACATGTGGGTATGAGTCAGTGTGTGTGGGAACTCACGGGGGCACTGGGCGACACAGATGGAGCCATACTGGTACTTGGCATTGGGGTTGGGCTCCAGTTTGAATGTGTGCTTGTTGTAGATCAGAGTCTGGGGACACAAGGATACACAGGATCCCGTGTTGTTGAAGTTCCTGCAAGCCTGTAAAAAGTCAAACACAGCAGTTAGCAACACAGCTGGATTTGTGTGTTTGTGTATGTGATAGGCCTTTTCACATTTTGATATGTCACAGTAGGAAAAACACAGGTGTTACCTTTAACACTAACAAAGGCTTGGTTCTATTCAAGTGTCCCAGTTAAGTCATAAGCGTGACAATGAGCCAGTATGAACAATACTTGGACCCTGAAGCTGAAGCAGCTAAATGAAATTCAGCCATCATCAATTTTCAATTATTTACACATGTGCTTTTCCAGCTATGACATGTCAAAGTATCTTCATAGGCATGTTGAAGCAGGAGACTCACAAAGCAGTCTGTATCCAGGGGTCCAATGCAACCTCCAGCACATTCATTGTGACAGCACTCGCTGGGGTTTCTGCCAAAGCATCGGCCATTACACTGAGGTGCACACACAGTCTTTGTCACTGAAAGAAAGTCAAGACTATGTTAATTCATTATAGCAGTTGCTTCATAGAACAAACAATTGCATGCAGCTTCTTCAAGTACAATTACACTGACATCAATATTATACAAAAGAATATAGCCCTCAGAAATAAACTGAAATCTGCAATTTTGACTACATTACTGTGTGAAGCTAAAGATAAATGAAGCAAATGAATCTGCAGTGTACGTGCAAAAATCAACTGCCACAAAGCATATTAGTATGTTACTATGACAATGCTGCAACGAAACAGCATATTTACAGTAATATGGTGATTTTATTCACTGTTTTCAGTTACTGAAAATATACACTAACATATGAAAATCAACACATCTTGCAGCACTCTCGACTCTTTAGTAGCAACTGTATTACAGAAATGACTTGATGCAACAAATGTAAAGAGGCAGTGGTGTCACTCACAAATCTGGCATGAGTCACTTCCTGGACCCCAGCATGGCACGTTTCCACATGCTTTGTGACAAGGCTCTGGAATATAATTGTATTATCAGCGGGTGCATTTTTTCATGTAAAGCAGAGCAAAACCAAAGTACGAAATTGAAGGATAGGCTCACTTTTCTCAAGTCTGTGTTAAACCAAAACTCACATGTTCATATGTACTGTACATTGAAAGGGGCCTTGGTGGCTGTAATCATATTTCTTGTTCATCCAGGAGAGATGAGTCCCTAAATCAAATTCAGTGTAACGGATGGAGGACAAAGTCCACAATCATTGTTTTGTGTTTCACAGTTCAGCTGAAGCTAAAATCTGAGGAGGAGTCTGAGTTAAATAAACTACTTTTTTGTATTTTTGCAGACAGAGTTTCCTTGCAAAGACTAGCTCTGGAAAATATCCACTTGAGTGGTCTGACTGAAGCTCCTGAAGTCTGTAGTTAATTTCACTAGGCTTTTTACATTTTTTTTTATATATTTAATGCATAGATAAAAGTAGTATGGATTTTTTCCCTTTCATTTCCTACACTGAAATCACTTCAGGTAGGTTTTTTCATACCCAGTCAGGACTGGAAAAACAATACAGTGACCAGCAGCAACCCTTCTGATGCACATATAAGCATGTAGTTTTAAGATGAACTTGAAAAATGTGAATCTGTCCTGTTGTATAGAAGGTAAATGATGCTCATATGTGAAAATATCATCCTTTCCACTCACTTTCAGGTCCGTTGCCCTCAATAACAATATTAGTTGTTCCATCCTTCACTATATCCAACCAGTTCACCTGCGGGGCGTAGCTCAGGTACTTATTATGGATGATCTTGACTCCTCCTTCCAGTATCTCTGTAGGTGGTATATATGCATGTAAATATGGAAGGACAAGTAGCAAAGCAAGCCTGAACAAGTCCATGACTCATCTTATCAAACTCCACCATTCACCATTTATTACTGCACATACAGGCTCAGTATAATGCACTGGAGCTCATGTTACGGTGGCGGTTGAGCAGTTGAGCCAGGAGACATTCCAGGGATCACAATGACTGCACATAGTGCTGCTCTGAAGGTGTGACTGCATTGTGTGGGTGTGGAAGCTCCAACAGTAACTGTGTGTCATATCCGACCTGAGTTCTTATCTGCACCACTCCAGCCTCCCACACTTTAAATACACTCACTCACACTAAATGTACCTGTAAGGTGAGTCAGGCCCAGTTCTTGAAGACCATGCTCCCTGTCCTTGTGGTAGTTGACCATCACAGCCAAAGCATATTTGTCCTCATACAGTGTGGTGCCTCTAATGACACGCAGGTGGTCCAAAGGGAGGCGGCTGAACTCATTGACCGCGAACAGGATGTAGCCTGTCACCTCCCTGATAGACTGCAATGGGTGGAACATCATTAGAAACATAAATAAATGAGCTCAGTGGGCATTTGAGACTAGACAGTGATAAACAGCATGTTTTGGTTTTCAGTGGAGCCTCAGATGAGGGATTGTTTCTGGCATTGGTGACTCAAAATCCTTTTCTAGACTGGTTCCGGTGGCACACATACTGTATGTACTGTAGTTCTTTGATGGGAGCACGGGTAGTCTGCTCCCTGTTACTGTGATGCCTGTGGGTGTCTGTGTGTTCAAAGTCTCACCTGCAGAAATGAGAAGTCTCTAGTGTGCTCCATCATGGTAATCTCAAGGTTGCCCATCACAATCTCACAGCCTGTGTACCTCTCCTTCATCAGGTTGTATTGAGTCTCTGTATTTCCCGTCACACTCAAAACGTTCTGGGTGCCGTAACAAACAACCACTGAAAAAAAAAAATCAAAAAATAAACTCTTGTTAATTAGTGTCTTTAATGTCAATGTGGTATAAAGGGTAAGTCTGATGATATTTCACATATTTCTTATTGATAGTAAATCTAATTAAAGTCCAGTAATGAATTGCTCCTGTTCACAAGTGGTGTTTGTGCAGAAAAAACCTGCTATAGAGAATGGGAAGGTGTTGTCACACCATGTTGAATTTTGGGAGCTCACCCCCATTATCCATCAAAGAAATATACACTACAAATATATATAAGTTAATAAAAAGAAAAACTATCCCATAGAGCTACATACGGTAGCGGATGCTTCAACTATGTCCCAATGTCCACTTTGTGCTCAGTTTGAGTACAGGCAGGACAGAAATTGATTCATCTGCAGTGTTTGTTTTATCTGCCAGCAGCGGCTAACTAGCGTTAGCTCTTGAACCAAGAGCTCACATCAGTGTGCAGTCATGTTTTTAGTCTGTTGTTCTCATAGATGGCACCTCTAGGTTTGCTACAAGTTAGCTACAGTCAGCTAAGGTTATAACCCTTCTGAATTGCCAGAGTCGGTAAAGTAAGATCTAATTTTTTAGCCAAACAAAACAAGAAGCTATGCAGGTAGATACAATCTGTATTTCCCAAAACAGCACACCCATCCCAATGTTCAGCAAGGCACGATGTACCTTCACATTCTCTATACCTTAATTTTGTTCCGAAAAACTAAAACTAAGCCACATTATTTCATGTGGTGAAACTATTACCATGAACATGGGCACTCTAGTGTATTCTGAACCAGTCCTACATATGCCATCCTGCTGCTATAAATATCCACTAGAGCACCAAATGTGTATTAATTTGCAGCTGAAATGATACACCCTTAACTCCTATTTTAGTATTGTTTGCGAAAAACTAGATTGCCTAGATTGTTTTGATTACTGAGCTTCTTTTAACAATTACATTATACAGTATATTTATGACCTATTTCAAAGATATTTTTATCTTCAGTAGAAAAATGGGCTTGGTGCTGGGTGCCATACTGAAAGGGTGAAAGTTGAAAAGTATTGAAAAATGTTGGTCTTTCCACAGGTTGTATTGTAATAAGAAAAACACAGAATAATTAGTATTAGTAGTAATAATATATTTGTATCTTTGCTAAATGGGAAGAATGAAAAAAAATTTCTCACAATAAAAATAATCCCACAGAAATTCTAACTAATCATTAATGAGGCAGCAGCATACATTAGTACAAAGACCATTTTGTGCCACTTCAAGCCAAAGAATTTACTGTAACAATGTTAAACAAACTGAGGGTTGTGCACAGGGCATGTCCTTGTCAGACACAAACATACAGGGCCTTGTTTATGGGCAGTGGGAGTTCAGCCACTCAATGTCACTTGAAGGCTGCTTTGCTATTCAAATGTCAGACAGCAGAGAACTGAGAAAAGAGAACTGAACTCCACTGTTGATCTGAATGTCAATTAGAAATCAATACTTTGTACAAACATACAAGCACAAACCTATTTGCTGTTTACACTGGCACATGCATAGTATCTTCAAAAGTATGCGTCCACCCCCTGTTCACATACTTCTGGCCTGGAGCTGCTTTTCATGGTTTGGATCTCTCACTTAGGAGACAGCGTACAGTGACTTTTTAACAGCAGTGTTAATGTGAGGCCGCAGTACAGAATAGGGAATATTTTATTTCAACATGGTAATGATTATGTGCACAAAGAAAGATCCACAACAAATGGTCTTTCCAGTTTGACTGGCCTTTACAGAACCCTGACCTCAACCCCATCAAACACCTTAATGAACTAATGGCCACTTGTATGTAAAATAATATTGAGTCTAAAATGTACAAATTAATTAAGGCTGTGGTATGTCCGAATTCTTGGTATGGAAAAATATGTACACAAGTAGTACCTGGATGACTTGCATAACTCCGTAGCATGGAAGCAATGGATACTATGCTATCCCATCCTCCCACAGTGGTCAGTGGCAGGGCAGGCCCGAAGCTGATGTAATTTTCATTCTAGGACTGTTATTTTGCCACTTTATAAAATGTTGATACTTTTTCATCATAAATTTGAACCTCTATAACACTCCTAGGTGAGCAGTGACAGTTGTGATACTAGTATTATGAATGAATTAAGTGACTGGTGTGTCATCACATGTAAACATCTGGGTCAGTTGGTGGCAAGAAGTCTGCATAGTAACATGTCAGAGGCTGTGCTTAATAGAAGGTGGAGTGGCTGCAGTGCCTACTGCTTTTTCATTGGAATAGTAAGCATTTGACAGAAAAATGTATGTACATGTGTAAGTAAGCAATTTTGGATGCACCCAATGTTCCAAGAATATTATGGGGGAGGCAGACAGGTAGCATAATGTTGCCATGGACACATATAAGCAAAATCAAAAGCAATGCAGAACTTGCTTTTCACAGTTACTGTTTGCAGTGACCCATAGCTGTTCACACCACAAAACCTACTTAGTTACTGAAGAAAACTTCATAATGTCATGATATTCAGGCAGGATCAGGAGTTATAAAGAGGATCATTTTTCTTTGATCAAATTTATGGATATTTAATTGATAACACTGATATCCTCGGAAGGGTTGAGTCATAATGCATCTAAAAATATACAGTGGTGTGAAAAAGTGTTTGCCCCCTTACTGATTTCTTATCTTTTTGCATGTTTGTCACACTGTAATGTTTCAGATCGTCAAACAAATTTATATATTAGTCAAAGATAACACAAGTAAACACATCATGCAGTTTTTAAATGAAGGTTTTTATTATTAAGGGAAAACAAAATCCAAAACTATAGAGCCCTGTGTGAACAAGTGTTTGCCCCCCTGTCAAAACACTGGTTTATCGCACCTGAGTTCAATTTCTCTTGCCACACCTGTTCGCAATCAAGAAATCACTTAAATAGGACCTGCCTGACAAAGTGAAGTAGACCAAAAGATCCTCAAAAGCTAGACATCATGCCGAGATCCAAAGAAATTCAAAAACAAATGAGAAAGAGAATAATGGAGCTCTATCAGTCCGGAAAAGGTTATAAAGCCATTTCTAAAGCTTTGGGACGGCAGCGAACCACAGTGAGAGCCATTATCCACAAATGGCGAAAACATGGAACAGTGGAGAACCTTCCCAGGAGTGGCCGGCCGACCAAAATTACCCCAAGAGCACAGCGACAACTCATCCAAGAGGTCACAAAAGACCCCACAACAACATCCAAAGAACTGCAGGCCTCACTTGCCTCAGTTAAGGTGAGTGTTCATGACTCCACCATAAGAAAGAGACTGGGCAAAAATGGTTTGCATGGCAGAGTTCCAAGACGAAAACCACTGCTGAGCAAAAAGAACATAAAGGCTCGTCTCAGTTTTGCCAGAAAACATCTTGATGATCCCCAAGACTTTTGGGATAATACTCTGTGGACAGACGAGACAAAAGTTGAACTTTTTGGAAGGTGTGTGTCCCATTATGTGTGGCGTAAAAGTAACACCGCATTTCAGAAAAAGAACATCATACCAACAGTAAAATATGGTGGTGGTAATGGGATGGTCTGGGGCTGTTTTGCTGCTTCAGGCCCTGGAAGACTTGCTGTGATAAATGGAACCATGAATTCTGCTGTGTACCAAAATATCCTGAAGGAGAATGTCCGGCCATCCGTTTGTGACCTCAAGCTGAAGCGAACTTGGGTTCTGCAGCAGGACAATGATCCAAAGCACACCAGCAAGTCCACTTCTGAATGGCTGAAGAAAAACAAAATGAAGACTTTGGAGTGGCCTAGTCAAAGTCCTGACCTGAATCCAATTGAGATGCTGTGGCATGACCTTAAAAAGGCAGTTCATGCCCGAAAACCCTCCAATGTGGCTGACTTACAACAATTCTGCAAAGATGAGTGGGCCAAAATTCCTCCACAGCGCTGTAAAAGACTCATGGCAAGTTATCGAAAACGCTTGATTGCAGTTGTTGCTGCTAAGGGTGGCCCAACCAGTTATTAGGTTTAGGGGGCAAACACTTATTCACACAGGGCTTTGTAGTTTGTGTCATGACTAAGATTTGTGGTATGACTCCATGAAGGAGTAGTTTTTGCTGGTGCTGCAAATGCTGACCATGTTGATAAGCAGACCAAGCCAACAGCCAAACTGCAATTCTTCTTCTTCTACTGTTTATAAAACACACATTTGCACCTGTTCCTTTCACCTCATACATAACCTCACCCTCCACACCCCACAAAAGTATCCTCATGGCTAAATTCCATTGAAAATGTTTTTGGTTATTTGGGTGAACTGACCCTTTAACTTTTAATCACAAGCATTATCATGAACCAGTCAACTCTGATTGTCTATTTACTTTTTGTGTTGTAGGGAGTGGTTTAAACCACACTCACACATGTAAAACATGCTCAACATACACAAACACATTCCATCCAGTGACATCAGAGCCAAAATGGAGCCCAGGAGAACAACAAGATCAACAGGGGCATAAAAAGCTAATGATTATTAACCTCACAGC